CCGTGTCCCTCTCCAGCCTGGGGCCCGACTGCTGGCAGGCGGCGGGAGGCTGGGGGCCGTGCGCCGCCCTGCTCCGGCTCGTCCTGTACCTGGGCTGCGCTGCGGCCGCCTTCGTGCTGGGAACCGTGCTCGCCCTTGTCTGCCGGAGCCGCCGGGCGCCGCCGCCCGACTTCCTCGTCGCCTGGAGCGGGCTGGCCGCCTTCGCCGGCCGCCCTCCGGAGGTGAGTACCCGTCTTTTTGGTGCCTCGCGCGCCCGCGGCCTCAGCCCTCCCTCCTCTCTTCCGGTGCGAGCCGCCGGCGCTCGGAGCCCCTCGGTAGCTGCGTGGCCGGTCCTCTCTGGCCCCCGGCTCTTCTTCGAGGCTGGAAGCCCAAAGGAAAAGGGACTGGGTTTTCGGCCCCGCAGGTGGGTGCGAGCGTTCCCTCGCCCCCCGAGGGGGACGGGCCCCTGGCTTCGTGGGGTTTGCCAAGATGCTCGTTATTAGGGTATGCAATTGCTCGACAGCAATCCTCACTTACAACCTTGATGGTTGAGTAATCACTGCGAATCCTCGAGGTTGCTCCGCAGTTGGTGAGTGGAAGAAAGAGGAAAGTGAGCATTCACTGCACGCAGGCACTGTACAGTGGTTATATTTGGTTCTTCTGACCGTTCTCCTTGGGAGGAAACTTTATGGCCGTTTACAAATGATGAAACTTGGACTCAGGTTAGCTTGGCAAAGGTCACACACCCAGAACTTCACATCCAAGCCCACACGCACTTTCTACCACATCATCCGTTCTTCCACCATAGTCCCAACTGGTTTCTGTGGCTTAGAAAGGGAATGCCAGAAATCACTGTAGTTTGCAACAAAAGGAAAGCTATCTTCAGTGAGGTATGGGACACGAGGGCTGTGGTTAGAGAATATAGGGAAGAATAATATTTTAAATGGGCTCTTTTTCTCAGTACCAAATCACTACTATGTTTTCTACCTCCCAGTTTCCTTCTTAAAGCCTATAAAAGTTTTGACACTTATGCTTGACTGAATGATACTATCATTAAGCTGAAATTGCTGAAGCAGTGTGGGGTAAGAAATAACAGTGGCTGAACTTCTTAAGAATATTTGTTTGAGTGACCATAGCCCCCTGGGTTTTGTATTATGATATAACTTGCTTCTGTCAGTTGAGACAGTAGTTCTGAGATCATGGGTGAAGGTAAGGCTTCTTCATTCAGCAAATTGGTAAGGAAATCAGTATATTAATGCACAGGAAACTTTTCACATCCAGTTTAGCAAGAGTTGGTGAGCAGGTATGTTTTTCCTCTTACTTTTTTTTTTCAGTGATAAGAAATAAGGACACTAGCATTTTACCAGTTGATTTATTAATCTAAAAAGAAGCTGCAATTCTTTAGAGCATTGTAAGAAATAATTCACTCAGTACATATTTATCAAACAATTTGTACATACCATGTACTGTTCTGGAAGCTGTGGTTGAGTCAACAAGACACATATAGCCGTGTTTTCTGGAGATAACATTCTTGTGGGGGACCAGACAAATAAATAAATGAGATACGTTTGGATAGTGATAAGTGCTTGTGAACACCAAAAGCAGGGTTAAGTGATTCGGAGTGACTAGTACCCATTGCTTTGCAGTCAATTCCGACTCATAGCGACCCTATAGAACAGAGTAGAACTGCCCCCATTGGGTTACCAAGGAGCGGCTGGTGGATTTGAACTGCTGACCTTTTGGTTAAGCAGCTGCGCTCTTAACCACTGCTTAACTGCTGTGCCACCAGGGCTCCAAGAGTGACTAGTAGGTGGACTCAAACATACCAACAGTTGATCATGAAGATGGCACAGGATGGGCAATGTTTCATTTTTTTTTATACATAAGGCCCCCCAACTGGCCAGCAGCTGACAACAGTAACAGTAAGTGGAAGGGGGAAGAGGGAGGGAGCCTCTGTGTGGGGCAGACAGTTAAGGGCTTGGCTGCTAACTGAAAGGCTCCTGATGAGAACAGCCTGGCCTGGCAATCTACTTCCAGGAAGATCAGCCATTGAAAACCCTGTGGAGCACATCTCCACTCTTGACACACATGGGGGTGCCATAAGTCGGAATCGACTCCACAGCAACTGGTCGTATGTGAGAGAAGGGTATTTAGTTCGATCTGGGTCAGAGCCCCACCACTGGGGCGGGAAGCCTCCGTAACCACTCTGTTTCCTGGAAGGTACGCTCCGGCCAAGTCCCCAGCTCACTTGCACCTCTGGGTAGATAAAACTTGGATTATCATTACTGTTAGAGAAAATAGTACTTTAAAGGTGACACGCAAAGAAAATGAAGCAACATGTTTAATCTGTCACGTGTACTACTGAAAGATTTCAGGTAATAGAAGCAGTGAAGTACAATCTAAAAAAAAATTATTGGTCATGCTCTTCAAACTTGGAGTCTTTCCATAGCTTTAAGTAAAAAGAAAAAGTACATTAGGAAATTTATTTTTTAGATTCTACATTAGAATTGAAATGCATGTTTTTCACTTAAAATTCTGTTTTCTTTTTTTTAATTGAAGCCCTGGCGGCGCAATGGTTAAGAGCTAAGGCGTGCCGCTGCTGCTAACCAAAAGGTCAGCAGTTCGAATCCACCAGCCGCTCCTTGGAAACCCTATGGGGCAGTTCTATTCTGTCCTATAGGGTTGCTATGAGTTGGAATCGACTCGATGACACGGGTTTGGTGTTTTTTTTTTTTTTTTTTTGGTTTGGTGCTATTTACGCAAGCCTTTAATTGTGCTGTATTTACAATAATTGGTGTTTAAGTTTTTATTTATTTATTTTTTTGGTTCTGTTTTTTATGATTGGAAAAGTGGGAGTTGTGAGCATGTGGTGTTGTATAAAATATCTGTTGCTTCCCTGGGGTAGGAGCTGAACCACACAGGTCATCAAACATATGTGGAGGGGGAGACTATTCAGCAGTGAACTGAATGGAGCCTCTTAGGATAACAGTGACTACCACAGAAATTTTGGTTCAGCATGAAGAAAAGAATTCTCACACATTCCAGCTCCTATACGTTTTGAATTCTTTCAGTGTCAGCCAGACATGTCAGACACTGAGATCCATCCTTCCATCCACCCATCCTTCCCTTTTTTTCTCTTGGTTTCGTTTTTTCATAGGAAAAAAAAGGCATATGCTGTTAAAATAGGCAACTAGAGAAGCCTGAACTAAAAGGCAACGGTGTTTTCACGTCTCTTGTGGTTAGCTGCCATCAGGTCAGCCACCGACTCATGGCTGAACACTGCCCGGTCCTGTGCAGTCCCCTAGATCAGTTGCAGGTCAAACTGTTATGATCTATAGGGTTTTTATTGTCTGATTTTTGGAAGGAGATAAGCAAAGCTTTACTCCTTGTCCATCTTGGTCTGGAAGCTCTGCGGAACCCTGTTCACCATCATAGCAACACGCAAACCACCACTTATGGATGGTGACAAGGCACATGAGGTGTTCTCACATGTAGGAATGTTCCAGTCCCGCATGCATCACAGTGTAGTTAAAACCCCATTGCCCTCGAGTCAGTTCCAACTCATAGCAACCCTATAGGACCGAGTAGAACTTCCCCATACGGTTTCCAGGGAGCACCTGGTGGATTCGAACTGCTGACGTTTTGGTTAGTGGCTGTCGTCCTTAACCACTATGCCACCGCGGTCTCCACAGTGTAGTTATCAGATGTGAATTCCATTCATTTGTTGTTGGTGTTGTTGTTAGTTGCCATTGAGTTGGCCTGTGATTGATACCTTTTGTTGTTATCCCTTGCACCTTGTAAGAGCTCAAGAAGTGTTTGCTGATGATAATGAAGAAAATTACGTTCATTTGTGGTCATTAACTTAGTGCTTTTCACCTCCGATTAATTCAGTATCTATTGGGCATCTAGCATACTCAAGAATTTTGATTTTACTTGGATGGCAATCACTATTGATTGAAGTCCCAGGTAGAAATAACATCCAGTGGTATTTTCAGGTATTAGGGAAGCTTTTGTGTAAGGTCGGGAAGGTTGATGAAAAACAGATTTTGTCAGGCCAGACTGGAGCTGTGGTGCTCTGGGGCCAGCCTGTTCCTGATGTGACAGTTATTAGTCCATCTCTGCTGAGTGGGCTGTCACAATATGGTGTTCCTTGTCCGAGGTTGTAGTGTGGCCTTCTTTTGGACCAGTTAACTCACCTGGAGCCTGAGCCTCAGATATTAGCTACAATTACTTGACCTTCACGCAGCATCCAGTCCAGGCAACAGCAAGAGAAATGGGGCAAGAGTGAATCAGTAGTTTAGGAAAACTTATCACTGCTTTACCAGCAGTTTAGAGTGCATCTAATAATAGAAAAAGGGAGTATGTTTCTTAGATCTTGACAATAGGGAGTTAAGAGAGAGTGGCTTCCTTAACTGCCTGTTTTTCTGTCACATAGTCTATGGCTTTTTCCCTTTTCTTTTTTATTGTAGTTTATTAGATACTTCTTGATTTATGTCCTATGAGTTCAAAAATAAATAAGCAATTAATTAATGAGGATTGAGGGGCTGCTACAAAAAAGTCCAGAGAGTCAGGTGTTTGGTAGCATATGTGAAACTAAACGTCACTGCCATGTGAAGAAAACATTAATAAAAGACTTTCCAAAGTTTAGCCAGATAGTAAAGTTCAAGAAGTTAATCAAATCTAATTAATAAACATTTATCGAATGACCACTGCATATTTCCTATTCTGATCCTGTTAGAGAGTTTTTTTGCATAGTTAGTTGCTGAGTGCCATGCTAGGCACACAGTAGGCTCTTGATAGGTGGATTTTGCATAGTTAGTTGCTGAGTGCCATGCCAGGCGCACAGTAAGCTCTCGATAGGTGGATTTTGCATAGT